AAAAAATGTTTCTGTGTGAGGTTAAATTTTATTCTGGATCTCTAATGCGCAGGAGAAAGAAAACTCAGCATCCAGGGCTTCAGAGCAGGATGGAAGAGGAAGGACAGATACAAGTTTGAAGCTCACTGCCCATCGCACACATCTTTGCCTAGAAACTCAGCTTGTTGCTCTTGTTCATCTTCAAGGGAAAAACAAAGTCCAGTTGGCTTTTGAAAAGACAGCTTTGGGACAGTCATGACCTGGATCACCGAGAATCTCCACAGCCATTCAGCTCATCCCTCTAACACCTTGATGTTTACAGTCACAGCTCTTTTCACCCTGATTTTCCTGCCCTCTATTATCTATTTTCACTTCTCACTCCTATCCCAAGTCCCGATCCCAACAGCGGAAAAGGAGAAAATAAACCTGCGAGTTGTAGGGACAACGTTTTGAGGTTGATATTTACAACACGCTTATTCAGGGCCTTGCAACATACATCTCCCTTTTAGCAATTCCAGAAAGAAACGAACTACAGTAGCTGGCAAAATGGAAAAGTAATAAAAGGAATCAGGGCTAACAGCATGCGTTAATTATCACGCAACGTATCATTTGCAGATTTAATACAAACATTTTCCAAGATCCAGTCCATTGCGTGGAAGGCAAACCAGCCCTTAGGGACGTTGAGAGCCTGTTGATCGAACATGGGGCAGATATGGGCAAATAACACCCGACAAAGTCACTTGATTGTGAGATGGGATGGCTGGGTAAATACTTTATGATTTATAAATAATAAAAAAAACCATGAGCGATTACGATCATCCTGCCCCTCACAAGTGTTTCCTTTCATTCTTATTCTAGATAAGGCAAGTGCTAAAATAAAATTAAGTTTGAAGACGGAGAGGGAGAGGGAGAAGGAGAAGGAGAAGGAGGAGGAGAAGAGGTGATACACAGACCACCAACACTCATACAGATTTGAGTCACTTGATCGATCTTTCCTCCGCTTAATTGTTGGGGGGAATTTTGAGGAGAACAAGCGAGAGGGTGACGTCCACCCAGTTGCCACAAAGACGAATCCCGCTGTCACAACTCATATACTTGAGCTATTCTTGTTGTCTACGAATTAGACATGGCAGAAGAGCAGCATGTAACCCCCCCTTCCTTGTCATTTCAGTACTTTTCATTCTGCAAGGATCTCCCTTTTTTAAAAAACAAAAAAAACAAAAAACCACACACAAATGTCCTGGATCTTATCACCCTTGTCTGCCCTGGCCGGTTCCCTCCAGGAAACCCACATGTCCGAACCCCCCAATCTGAAGAAGAAAAAAAACATTTTGAGTTGTCTCGCTCTTACCCTGGAGATGGTCAAAGGCATGTTGAAGTCCTTCCCTCCTTGCAGACGGAAGCCCCACGGACCAGATCCATTGAGAGTGACACCGAAGGACATTTTGTCTCTCCTTCACAGCAGGAAAATGCTGGGCTGTGTGAAACAGAGGGATGGAACACAGGTGGGTATGCCTTGTTTTGAAAAAAAAGGAGTGTTCTTTTTTTCCCCCCCTTTTGTGAAAGCACGAAATAACGCTCTTTTTCGTCTCCTGCCTGGTCAGTCCAGCCGAAGTGTCATCTAAGAATAGATAGCACTTATAATACGGATACTGATATCCTTGACAAGGAGACCATACATGGCTGGTAACCCAACACCAGCTATGCGAAACCTCCGTGACTCAGAAGTCTAATATAGAGCCCCGGGGTCTTTAGCAAACCTTTCCGAGCCCCTCGGTTCCCTTGTTCAGGCTGGAAGCCACTTTTCTAAGATAAAAGAGCAGCTTATTTTAAGGGCTGAGTTAAAAATAAGAGTTGGAAGGAGCTTTTGGAGTAAGACCCTGGTCCAGTTCGTCGGCCGATTCCCTCAGGGGTGCACCAGTGAGTTCTCCCCCCAGGTTTTACGTATATCAATTAGATAAACTGTCCATTTGACCATTTTATACACACATACAAAGTATATATATCATGACAATTTTACACACACATACACAGTTTTTAATATTAAAATTATTTTTTATAATTAAATATTATAATATTTAATATTAAATAGTTTTATATAATAGTTTTAAATAATAATATTAAATAGTTTTTAATATTAAATTATTTTATTGTATTCCCTGGTGCTCGTGTTTGCTCACTGGTTTTAAATATGGATTTACCTAGGGATCACATTTTTAAAGAAATTTTTAATACATACACAGTATATATATATCATGACAATTTTGTGCCAGTCCAGTTTGGTGTAAGTAAGTTTTTCTTAAGTTTTTTTTAAAGAAATAATGAAGAAATAATGAAGAAATGTTTGCCAGCTTAAAGCATAACTAGCGTGAATTAGTAAATTATATCACTATAGCAATGAGATTATTGATCCTCCTCCTCCTCCTCCTCCTCCTCCTCCTCCTCTTCTTCTTCTTCTGGAAACTAATCAAGGAGAGAAGCAGCCTAGAACTAAGGAGAAGCTTCCTGACAGTGAGAACAATTAACCAGTGGAACAACCTGCCTCCAGAAATCGTGGGTGCTCTAATATTGGAAGTTTTTAAGAAGAGATTGGACAGCCATTTGTCTGAAATGGTATAGGGTTTCCTGCCTGAGCAGGGAGTTGGATTAGATGACCTCCAAGGTCCCTTCCAACTACTACTACTACTACTACTACTACTACTACTACTACTACTACTACTTCTTCTTCTTCTTCTTCTTCTTCTTCTTCTTCTTCTTCTTCTTCTTCTTCTTCTTCTTCTTCTTCTTCTTCTTCTTCTTCTTCTTCTTCTTCTTCTTCTTCTTCTTCTTCTTCTTCTTCTTCTTCT